CATTCGAAAATTTTTAAATCACAATTAATACACAAAAAAAAACAGTTTTACTAAAATATCTCAAATTTAGTTAGATACAAATCTGAAAAATAATTTTGTTGAACTATCAAAATAATTATATAGAATGCTCAAATTGGCTGGTAAAATATGTCAAAATATTTGCAGCATTGCTCATTATTGAATTTTCTATATATTTACTTTCAATAAAATTATTTTCAAATCTGTTATCTGAATTTTTTAATATTTCAGTAAAATCATTTTTTCCATGTAGCATTTGTACATTTATATTAATCATTTGAAAAATATTAAACGTACATATGATTGAATAATTAGTCGATGCGTATACATATGAAGAGAGAGGTAGTAGTAAAAAAAATCGTTGTGTTTTGTCGCTTCTCGTATGTATCATTGGAGTCATTTCTTGCAATCACGCGAATGGCGTGACAGCAAAATGTATTTTGTACATGGTTCATTGTAAATGCAACGAAGTGATGAATGACTTTCTCGCTGTGTACGCCGTGCGAAACGCCGTGCGAAAGCAACGATTCTCCCTTGCGAGTAACAAAAATAAAAATAATTTTCAACTATTCTACTACCCGTGGGAAATTCGGATTCGGAATACGAATTCAACATGATAACCATTTACTGTTCTTCTTTTTCTTTCATCGAAAACGTCCGGGCATATCAGATAGGAAATGGTGAATTTTTGGGGGCTATTTAGGTCATGGATGTGTTATTTAATGCCAATCGAAGGGCGACCAAGATATCGTAATATCGTTCGAGAGTTACCCGTGCCACTTCCGATCGATATTAGATATTGCGTCCGTCAGTGCGTTGGCGTTAACAGAAAGGGATACAATAGTTTGTAAAACGAGAAATTATATATCTATCTACGTAGATAATGCTATTACATATAGTAATAACAACGCTAAAAAATCGTTTTGAGTGAAGAATTCCAATGGCTGAGGTCAATCCTGCTGGCATTAAATAGAAAAAGTTAATCCTTGAGTAATCTGGACATCTCTGTAATATTCAATCATCATAATCATGTAGGTACGCTGCATTTTTCATAAGTTTTTAAATAAATATAGGTATATTCTCCGCTCAAAAATTTGTTAAGAATTCTATTATACCCGGAAAATACTTGTTAAGAATTCTATTACCTCCGAAAAAGTACTCGTACATTTTTATAAATTTCATATTACACAACCTATATAAGTTACACATATATATGTTTGTACGTAACTCTCGCAGCATGAAAATGATTAGCACGAAGGGAACAACACATTGTCCTTGAAATTCAACGTATGGCAGAAACGTCACGCAGGTGTTATTTATGATTTATCCCCTGTGAGTGGTAGTAAACTGCATAAACACACGAGAGCATAAACTGTCCAACCGTTCACTCGCAACGCGCCGTTGTGTTTCCGTTGCGTTACGCGAGTCATAAACGGAAAAAGTTTGTCATGTTAGAAAATTCAACTTTATAGAGAATTTCGTTTTGCATCTCGAGTTAGGTATGTTACGGAATGATGATTCGAGTCTGAGTATACACCTATCGTGTGGCGACCTGAGAGCTCTGCACCCCGACGCGACGCGTCGCCGACGTCGCTGACTCGACATCGTGGCGCCGGATACGTGACGAGCACAACGAGCGACGGACAGGAAACGGCGAAAATGCAAACACGGAAGAGGAAGCCGCGAGAGAAGACGTAGATAGCAGCGTATTCCGGGATAAGAACGGAATATTAAAGGATACCTCGCAAATGTTCGACAGAGTAGCAAAATTATTTCGATTTTCTATCAAAGAGAAGGCCGAATGGGAATGATATCAGTAGTCTTCTTCGTGCTGAATTCGAATGTCTTCTATATAGGTTTTTTGAAATATAATATGTTATTCTCGAATAGCCTATAACAGTAGGTATATAAGTGTTAAGCTTTCGATTTTTAGGAAATCTCTATATGTGAAAAATGACAAAGAAAATCTATATTTTTAACGTATTAACATTGTAAGATTCATAAGAGATTGAATCTAATCATATTTTATGTATTTAACTTTTATATGTTACTATTAATTATATAATTTTTATATCGTATAGAAAATGTATGTGTCGAAAGAAATGTATAATATAATATATGTATATTATATTATATTATTTTATTATTTAAGGAATTACACGTGCAATAGAAAAAACGATGAATATTTTTATGTCGAGGCAAATGAATTAGAGTAGTGCAAGTTTGAGAAGCGAAATAAAAAATTGAGCATCTTGGTGTTTTTTCAGAACAAAATCGTAGTAAATGCAACTAACTTGAGCAATATATTTTTAAGCACCTGTAATATCATCTAAATTGATAATGTTTTCGATTTAATTGTGTGCTCTTTTTGTATCTTTACTTTTCTTGCAGCTACTCACTTCGTTTCTTTATAAAGATACAAATTTTTATCAAGTCTGCAAGTAATTATATGCAATTCGATATTTTTATTAATAGTATGCTATTAATAAAATAGTACGCTATCATTAATAGTATACTTCTTAATTTGCTTATGTTTTAGCACTGGTCTTCGTCTATTTTCGTACGTTAAGTAAGTGCAGCGATGTCTATATTATAGAAATATAGTCTTCGTTTGATCATAACGCAATGAAGTTGGAGGATGGGTGAATAATATAAGAGGAAGAAGAAGTGAATTGTTACGTTGTTTGTAGCGCGGGATACCTACATTGAAATAGAAAAGAAAGATATAGAGAAGAGAAGCGGACGCAGAAAAGGAGAGAAAATAAGAGCAAATAGGACTATCGATGAGCGTTGAACAAGCGAGAGGCGAATCTTTGAGAATCAGGAAGAAAAGTCATAAAGAACTCACCTTAGGGGATAACGATGAAACGATCGGAACATAAATGGGAGAATTGTGCAAGTTATATCTAAAAATAGCGATAGTGAATGCCGGAATAGAAATGGAGTTACAATATAAAAACTTAAAAAAGAGAAAAAATACACAAAAGCAATAATCAGTTATGATAACTAGAAAAGGAATGAAGTATATAGATTGTTCGTTCATTCTTTGATTTTAAAATTGAAATGTAAACGTATATATGTATATATATATGTATATGTGTGTACAGATATGCATTAAAACGATTAAATGATTATATATATATATATATACATACATATATATATGTATATTTTTTATATATTATATTTTTAATATATTTTTTAAATATTATATATATAATATTTAAAATTCTATCTTCAATATAAAATTTGGCTAGATATTTTCAACGTTAAATATTCTTGTAAACCAAAATATTAATATGAAATCGACTATGAATTTGCTGAAAAACGGTTAAAGAAAACATTTTTTTACTACGCAAATACAATATATCCGACGTGAATCAGAACGAAAAATGTTTAACGGTATATAAAATTTTTAAAAGGTAATCGATGGCAAAATTGAGAAATATACATACCTTGTGTGATCAAAAATTAAATTTTCTTTAACAAAAATCCAATTATATGGTATCTCTTCAATATTATACATTTTCATGTGTGTCCATCTCTCTTCTCTATTTAAAATATTTAAATAAATGTAAAGAAGAAAGGGATCGATCAAAATTCTTCAATTTTGTGAAATAATGAGATTTGCTGTAAAACTTTCGCTAGGAAAGGCATTTTCAAATTTATTCTTACGATTCAACACTAATTAGCAAACACTGCAAGTGTGCACTAGCGAGATTAAAAACAAGAAGATAAATCGAGAAGAGAAGAAAGTGCGAGCATTGAGCAGTGACGCAATATCGAGCATGAGACTCTGAACAACGACGGAAGAAACCAAGAGAACCACCGTGAGCAACCTGAATCACCACCTTCCGAACGTGGAGGCAATTCAGAACTACTTCTACATCGAATAACGTGCATGTATATACATGTATGCGACAGTGAAATGTGGGCGGTGGGCGAAAAAGCCTCCCTAGAAAATAGATGCTAGACCAAATGAATAGTAGTTGCAAAGCGAAAGAGAGAATTGAGAAAACTAAAAGGGGAGGGAAGAGAGAGAAAGAGAGAGAATAAAAGGTGAGTAGGGGAGGGAGGGAGAGAGAAAGAGAGAGAGAAATAGTGCTTACGAATATGTACGCAACCGTGATGAGAGAAAGTAATGAGAGAGAAATAGAGAGAAGCCAGTGACGAATTAAATAACCTCGGAGCCCTAATCGATTATCTAAACTCATGTCCATTTCTATCAAAACAGATTAATTTTAATCTCGATTTAATTTTCCCTAAGTCTAAGAATTAGGAAAGGTTGGAGAGTAAATTGAATCAAGACTAAAAGTTAATCTACATCGACCGAAATAAACGAGCATTAATAATAAAATTTAATAATGTTCATTGACCACAGTTTGATCGATTTTGTTCTCATTTTTTTTTACTGCTAACCGTACAAAGGGAGAGAAAATTAAAATTTTATTATAATAATCAAAATTCAAACGTAAGGAATTTTGAATTGAATTTTTGCGAAATATTTCGATGCACTTGATAGTCATTAAATTTTCAACGAGCATAAAATAGGAAACATGAAAGAAATTAGATCACACACGTAATTTAACAGATAACTATAAAAACTGGCTAAGAAATTTTGTCGACGTTGAAAAAGTGTCATTACGTCAATGATAGATGAAGCCTTGAAAAATGTGAGAATCGTATTTCTGCGCTTTGGGGTGCCCGCGCACCCCAGACCGCCGGTTCGCCACTGCGTGGAATTTAGCGATGCGGCGGCAGCAGCGAGGAGAGAAAGAGAAATGAAGAGAGAGAGAGAGAGAGAGAGAGAGGGGGGTGAGAGAGAGAGGGTGAGAATGAGAATGTGCGAGAGAGTGAGAAAGCGAGCGTGTAGTGCCAGCCGGCCGGCAAGGGAGGAACGATGTTGCGGACTATCGACCCGGTCTCCGCTCCGGCTTGACGCCTGCGCCTGTCATCGGCAATCCCTCCTACCGTCCCGCGGGCCGTCTTGCCGGCGTCGCGGCGCTCTACGCAACGTCGGTGTGGCGACGGTGGGACCAGCAGTGCCTCTCACGATTCCGTTCTCGTTCTGCCCTCCGTCTCGTGAACGCCGTTCGTACGTGTCCGGTCCGGGGTGTCACCTAGGTGCCAACACGCGCGCACACGTACACCGCGTACGTACGCACACACACACACACACACACGCAATACACGCACACACACCCACACACACACATATACCATAAGTATAATGTTACATATTAGGCTCTAATCTCTATCACAATCCGTCTTTCTTTTTCTCTCTGCCCGTCTTTGTCGCCGTTTCTCTCGTCTACTTGTCACTTTGCACACTTACGTTACACGACCATGTTCTAACGCGATCACTACCGGCGCGTATCTATCCCACTCACCCATCTACAGTGTGCCATTCTTTTTCCGTTTCTCTATATCTAGTCCTTGTCTATATATAACACGGATATGCGGCAAGAAAATTTAATTAAATATTCGTATTGGTGCTAGCCGATGTCGGTGCAACCATCGTATCCGTTGATACCGGCGCCTTCTTTCGAAGATGTCACGAGTATCTTTCTAAGATACTTGTGCTTTTCTTGGTGCGCACTCGTAATACGCGAGCCGGTAAGTTGACAGGTGCGCGTCGAAGAAGCTTCGGCTAGACCGGGCGATGGAGACATTGGGAGAGAAGAAAAGGCAGCGTGATAAAGAAAGGGGATGAGAAGGAGACAGGAGGGAGAAGGAGTGAAGGGGAGGGAAGGATGGATAAAAAAAGGGAAAGAGGAAGAAGCTCCATGCTTGACGAGCAGGAGGTTTCTTAGGACGGAGATGAAACGGTAAAACCAGACAGAATGACTGGCTTTTTCACTTCCTTATCTATTTCGCTCTTATCCACTTTTTTCGCTGGCGAATTGTCTGGCAAAATTCCTCCGATGTCGCTTTTCAATTCTCACGCACGTATTATTCTATTCGATGTTGTTTGAATGATTTGCTAGGTTTCCCATGAATCTTGTTTGATAAATAATTACCAAACTTTGATAAGATTATACAGTTTGAAAGTGACCCTCTTTGTTCTTCTTAATTAATCTTCACATGCGCAGTTATAGTCGATGACCTTGGTTCCGGTTGTACGTTGTCATTAACAATTTTGTATTCTATTATTTTTTAACTTGACACTTGGTATTGCAACATTCAATGGATTCGTCGTGTCTTTCAAGAATTCTGTCAGGTACGCGTAATTATGCGATGAGTAATTTTACAATACGTATATTCATTCGCAAAACAGTCGTACCTGGTAAATACCTGGCAGGTAGATATTCATTATATCTGATCTATATTCTGTTCTCAAACATACTTTTGTTTTCAGTTCTAACGACATTGACGATAATGTCGAACGAAGTGTGAAGGCTGCTTATCCATTCCTTCGTTTCCTTCTTTCGCACTCTTATTCTTGTTAGCATAATTATGTCTGCATAATTGTCTTTTGACTGACGCTCCGCCGAAATTAATTTGATTTTCATACCTCTCATTACATCATTCGTAATGAAAGAATAAATCACATTGTGATCTTAGTTTGCCCAGAATATTCTCTCGATATCTAAGATAATCATCACATTATTATAATCATTAATATATAATTATTATTAGCTGGATTAATGGATATTAATTTTCATATTTTCCTGTTATAATGTATTTATGAATATTATAATTTTCACATTATAATGTATTAATATTAATTTTTATATTGTAAGTATTACATAACAAAATATTTGCCTCTTTTGCATATTTCAATATGCTGATAAATATAAATATGTATCGTTTCGTATATTTTTCAAGAAAATCAACTTCCTTGAGATATTACCAATATGCGTATAAACTCATTCATCATTTGCAAATGTGTCGTATAATTGCTAGCTAGCAAATTTGAATCCTTCGAAAATTTCGTAATGATTTATTTCGAATCACTTCTTATTCTATCAATCACATTCCCAATGTATTTATGAGCCATCTCATGTGCGTGGAGATCTCCGTTTTATCGCTTTTTTCCATTTCGTTCTTCCGTTATCGGCGCTTCCGATAAGTGTACGATCGCCTACTGATCGTTTTTAACATGTAGCCTAAGGGTAACCTTAACCTGAATATTGGGATCCATTTCGCAATTTTCTTTTTCGTCGGAGAAAATTCCATCGGATGGACCGTACGGTACGCGCAAATGCATTGTGTTTCATTGGTATACGTGTATACTCACACACGCATGCACATATCGGTGCTCTACCGCTTTACACACGCCTTTTATACCTCTTTATAGCTAAAGGTGTGACAGAATATCTCTGAATTTCCTAGATTGAAAATCACGAGAAAATATTAAAGATGTTTGTATAATTTTAAAGATGTAATATAAATGTAAAAAATTTTTTTATTCAGGATCAATATTTGGATATTTTTAAGATAAACATGTTTTTATAAGATGAAAAACAAGGTTTTCTTTTACATTTTGTCGATAGAAAAGAAAAAAAGAGACAATTTATAAAGTCGTGTGAAAAATTCTTTCCTTAACATTTTTACATCCAAAACTGAAAGTTTTCAGAATGTTTTTCTGTGAAAAATTCCATTCAAAAATTATATTAATTATATATATATATACATATATTGTATAATGAATAGATATGTGCATATATATATATATATTACATAATATCGTGTTGTAAAACACACACACACACAAACACATACACAGAATGAGCCAACAGAACTTTCCATCTTGTTTTTTGTAATCAACTGATTTATGCTGGAACACGTCAACTTTGTTTTTAAGGGAAATGTACATGATAAATTGTGCTGCTCTTCATCTTCTTGACTAAGATAACTAACCCTTTAAAAATTTTAAATGACAATAAGAATTAGATGACATATTTAAGAGTTTTTTAATTCCCTTGAATTCTTCAGAATTTGCGTCTTCTTAAATTTAAGTGACTATCTTGTGACATAACATCTTATATAGAATCCTGTGTCATAATACAAATTCTACTTTTAAAGTATCTTAAATAAAAAAAATATAATGAAGAAAAATTAAATAACTTTTGCAAGTCAATGAATTGAATTTTCAACTTTTAATACCTAAGACTTTAAAATTTTTTGAGAAATACTCAAATTAAAAAAAAGTAGAATATTTGTAAAGAAAATTCAAAAAACCTTTAAAACGCTGTGCCACTTGATACTTACTGTCATTTAATATTTGTGAAGGAGCAGCTATCTTATCAAGAAGATGAAACAATAGTTTGAATGAACAATTAAATTTATCATATAATTGTACATTTTTCTTAAAAACAAAATTGGCATGTTTTAGCATATTTCGCAATCAGTCGGTTAAAAAAAAATAAGGTGGAAAGTTCTCGTTGGCTCATCCTGTTCACACACTCATTATAAGGCGGTGTAATTTTATTGATATATATATTTATATATACATGTATATAAAATATATGTATGTATCTTAATATATCTAAATATCGCTTTATGTATACGTACTTGACACAATATACACAAATACGCAGAGGGAGCAATTCGGAGCCCGTGCCTGAGCCCGAGCGCTACTTACAAACACTGCCTTGAAGGCTGAGAAGAAAGAGGTAGTGTTGTGATAGTGAGAGGTGGACGAGAACGAGGATTCGTATAGTGGTGTATCCCCCGTGATTGACGTCGAGAAAAACTACGTCCTCCTTCTCGGTAGAACATCTGCGTTCTGGTCTACCGACGGCGTTGTCCATCGTCATCGTCGCAGAGAAACGGCCGGCCTCCGTGCGTCGCTCGCTAACGCAGCGGCTGTGTGTCATTATTACTGTCCCACTGCCTCACACACCGCGGCCTCATGATTGGTTCATTTTGGAACCTCTGCCGTGCGTGCCCTTCAATGCCGATTGATAAGGTGAGGAGACTAAGAAATCATATCATTGCGCTGATCGAATATTCCGATTTACTGCAAATTATTTGATATCTCCAATTAAAAATAGATTTTTCAGGGAAAAAAGGAAATAATAACATCTCTTTGTGTTAGATACTTTGCTGCTCTATATAACACAATAATAATGAGGAATAAAATAAAATAAAAATTAAGCAATAAGTGATAATAAAATAAAGTTGTTTTTATAGAGAGCGTCGAAATTCAAAATGTCTCATTGTACTCTGTATGGTTTCAATGTATCTTTCTATCCGTTTTGTCTAACTTTTGGTAGAAACATTTCAAGCTTCTTTCACCAACTCTGATTAACGCTGATCGATGTTTAACTCAATCATCACGATTATCAATGTCAGAACTAAACACAGTTTGTCTCAGAAGACGAAGAGAAAGGAGACGTTTTGACATGTATATCAAACTGCTGTTGGCACTTTTGCGAGTTGATCGTCGATTAATTTAATTAGAAGTTGAAGAGACCTTTTATATAGAATTCCGAAATGAATTATATTATGGATCTTAAAAAAGGATCCATTTTCAATATTATACATCTTTATAACTTTTTCAAGTTAAATCAAATTTCCGTTCAAGCAAATCCTATTTGAAATTAAATAAAGAATACTGCTTTGTTATCCATTCTTTCTGTTGAGGCTTGCTAACAGCCTTTTGACTTTTAATCGGAAATTACTTTTCAATATTTTTGTTAAGGAAAAACAAATTTCGTACAGAAATTGTGCTATAAACAATAACCAATAGTTTTCGGCAGATGGCTGTGTAGAAAGCTGAAGATTCCATAACTGTCTAATGGTACGATTAATCAGAATGGCGACTGCATTGATCGATTCAATAGTCTTGTATTGCTTGTTTGTCCGCCAGTCTCATAAATCCGTAAGCGATTCGAGGAAGTGCACTTGCACTATATCAACTCGGGGGTGGTTAGTGTATTCAATTTCCACTTGTATTTATTTAATGTTTCTGTAAAATTCCTTTACTCTTTTCTTTACGAATTTTTTCAATCGTTTTAATTTTAATTTAAAATTTATAATCATTGTGTGAATTTAACTATAATAAAACAAGCAATAATTATAACGTGAACGACTTAGAGAAATTATTATATCTATATATAGTTAAAATGAGTTTCTCAATTATAAAATAATTTTTTTATGTTATACATCAAAGAGAAAAATGAATATTTTACTTTAAAAAAATATAATAACATAATCTCCCAAAATTTTATCATTTAGTTAGTAATATTTTCAAAAGCAGAATATTTCGGTTCGTTTGCCATTAAGTTAATGAATATAATTACTTGGCAATGTTTATAAATAATTGTTATGTACGTTCACCCGCCAACAGGGACGATTAGCTATGGAGAAAATTGGGGTAGTCTTTTGTAATGGTGAATTGTGGGAGAAATTTAAGGGAAGTAGGCAAGCAAATTTATTATGCCTTATTTCTTGCGAGCAATTTTGAGAAAGTTGTAAATAGGCAGCTTCGCTAACTCAATTGCCTTCGTGATTTCATCTCTTTCAGTCTTTACTACTAATAAAATTTATTCAGTCTTTACTGTTGATAAAATTAAAAAAGCAGATTTGAAAATTTTACGTAAATTGTGAAACGCAAGATTTTCCTTACACAAATTAAATCGCAAATTTTTCAAATTTGCTGTACGTAGGGATACAGACCAATGTCTGTCGGATATAAATGCAATATAACTTGCATACTTAAGAAGCCTGCACGAAGTCCTTAACTATTACGTTTTCGTAAAATACTTCTCTGTAGTAGATTTATGATGCACAAACTTAATAGTATATTATGAAATATTGCTTAATAATTTATGCTTATAAGGCATAAAATACACGAAACGTATGATATAAAATACAATTTGCTTTACATGCATAATGCAAGATAAAATATACTGAAAAAAGTCGACTACGAATATGCATATAATATCGCATATATTGCTGCTTAAAATTTGGCATAACGTGATTGGATTATAATGATATTTCATTCACGCAACATTATGTATTAGTTAAATGATGATGGATAAATGTCATTAATATTAATTAACTATTATACAAAATAAATAAATACTAATTAGATATCTATTTCTTAAATTTTCTTTGATATTATCTGTTATTTCTTGATGTTTTTATGTTATTAAATTAGTAGTAAATTAATTTTGTCGTATTTCTTTGATATATAATTTTACGAAATAAAGTAGGTATCTCCTAAGAGATATTTTCCCGTAGTTTTTGTTAATTTGAAAACGAAAAGGCTCTTTATTTATCTTTTTAATTTATAACATTGTCTATGCAAAAGTTAAACTTCTAATTAAGATTCTATTAAATTCGTATTTTTAATTATTTTTATTATTTATTATATAATAACTAGCGAATATAATGTGATTAATTCTTATTGCAGATATGCAGTAACTTATTAGTATCATTCTATATGCATTGGTGGCCGAAGTGTTTCACTCCAAGCGGAACAGATTTTATTGGTCTGGCAGATCGCTTAAATATCGTGCTTCCTCCGGTCGAGCGCAACATTCTTCATCTTGTCGAAACCGAATTACTTTATCGATTCCGTTAGATTATCACGTTTAACGTGATTTGTATGCATTGATTTTACATCGTATGTGCTGCATGGATTTTCTCCTTCACAATGACACAATGCTTTTGTCGCAAACTTGATCAAATGATCGTTTCAGAAGTCAGAAGTGGCCTCTTTTTTATTTTGCGTAAAACTACATGCATTTCGCTATTAGTTTTCGCGAAACTGCCGCAATTTTATCTCCATAACAAACTTTTGCAATTATGCCGAACAAAGTTCACTGCAATACTTAATGTATTAGCATTGTCAGCATTATTTGAGAAATGACATCAATAAAGGCATAATTGTTGCTAGACAATTTACAACACATCTATTATAGAATTACTAGACACATGAATTGGAATAATTAATCAGTGTACAGTGTCTCATTTAACTTTCGCATTTTTTGTATCAATTTTTTAATATTTATGTAGAACATATCAATTTATATAATTTTTTATGCATATAATATAAATTAAAAAATATTAACGCATGTTAAAGAGGCTATAATACAGCAATATTATTTATTACATCTTTTATTATTTGTTCTTGAAAAAATTGATTTATTGAATTTCTAGAGTTTCCGCGAATTTTCTAATTATTACAATAATAATTACTTCTGGTTAGCATTGTTCCGCATTGTGATTGCTATGCTAATAGTTATCTAGTATAGCATGTATAGCTAGTATAGCATAGAACTTACGTCATTATGAATTGGCCGTCGCTTCACCGTAATATTACGTCATGCCGAAATCGATATATATTTTCATCATATATTTGCTGGGAACTTGTTTAATGGTTTCAACTGTATTTGCAATTTTTTTCTCGGTTTTCGTGAGTTCGCACGAAGCACATCGATCGCTCTTATTCAGAGAAATGATTACTCGATACGTTTATGAGTATCGAAGAGTTCATTAAGCTAAAAGTCTATTCGAGAATGTGTGAAGCTCGTACAACAATTATTTATTTTATTAAATGAAAGAAAAGAAAAGTAATATGTTAAGATAGAAAATTAGGAACATTTTGTAGTAAATAATTTCTTTTCCTTTAAATAGTTTTTGTCGTTCTAAGAAATTCTGTTTTTTAAATTTCTTTTAAAAAAAGAGAAGTCTTTTAATTTTAATTTAAGAGGAATTTTTTATAACATTTTTAATAATAATTAAAAGAAGTACGCTGGATATTGTGCAGCCATTATTAAAGAATGATATTCAAGTAAATACGAGTAAGTAAATATGAGAGTTTTATTTAAGAAAATACAAATATTATACAGTCCCGTTGTATCAAAATTTCAAACATAACACATTCTCACGTTATTCAAACGTTGAGCGAGATAAAATTATTCTTGACGAATACAAAATCCAGATAAAAGTCGAATACTATCCAATAGCTGATATCGTGTATTGTCCGCTTGTCCTATATGACATTCGATCTGTTGCACCCATTTTTAAAATCGTGAAGAATGATTGGAAACATACTAGTTAATATTGCGAAAGCAAACATGACCTTTTGAAATTTAATCGACTGTAACAATTTACGCGTATTATTCAATCGCGTAAACATAAAATATTTGAACAATTTCGAAAATGTCGATTATTTTAATGTTTAATCATATATATTGATAACTTTTTAAATATGAGATTTAATCTCTGATAATTTAATAATGTAGGACGGTTTTTAATTTTTAAGTGGCAATAACAACGTCAATGAAAAGTTTTCCACGCTCTCTGAGTTTTTCTCGCCGCAATGGAATGAATTTTTCCGATATCGGGATTCGTATTTTCGTTTCACTCTCTATTTGTACAAGATATGATTAGGCGAAGCTGCGAGAGGAAATTATCCCATTTAATAGACGTACCTCGGTACGATATTTTCCCGAATATCTTATCTTTTTTTTCTGTATACTTTTTCTCTCAAGTGTCGATTAACTGATTAATCGTATTCGTAACTACGATGAAATGCACTGTATAGCTGACTCGCAATTGCGCTAGCGAGAAAAAGTGTCGTTTATCGATTGGCCTCAATTCGCGAGTCATTTTTCAAAATAATTCATTAATTCTAGCGTTTCTCGTGCCGAGTCATCTTAACGTCATGAGCAGACTAATCTCTAAAGTAGACGATTTTGACTGTCACCTTATGGCAACTTATGGAGCATATAATGCCGCGTATAGCCAGTGGAACCGCATGGTCATTCGGCTCAATCGACCCCCGTGTGCAAATCGTCGCTACGAAGGGAATGGTAGGAGTGAAAAGCCGGCATTGCGCCACTCGGACTTGCTCGCCTCCGTCAATATACGCGCTTGATCACGTTGTCATCCACCCGCAAAACGCATCTTGATCCTTACTACTGAACGTCAAATATTAAAAAATTATTAGTGGAA